CTCCTCCTCCTCCTCGGCTGCCTCCTGCCCCGGCGCGGCCCGCTCAGGTGAGCGCACGGCGCGGGTGCTCGGTGCTGCGCGGGGCTGCGGGACCGCTGCTCTCCGAGCCGCTGCCCCGGCACCCGGACCCCATCCCCCGGGAGCCGCGACTCCCCTCCGGCCCCCGGCTATCACCCCCTCTCGGAGACAGAGCTCTCCTGCGGGACCCGGCCATCCCCTTTCAGACCCGGAACCCTCATCCCGACCCCCGATCCGGACCTGTCTCCGGGGCCTGATGCCCCAGACAGAACGCTCCCAGCTCCTATCTGGATCTCCCGCAAATCTGGCCTCGCTCTCCATTCCCCAGGACCCTGACCCAGCGCTCCGAGGGACCCAGCAGACCTTCCCCTTCCAGTCCCCCACTGCGCACAGCCAGACCCTGCCTGTCCCCAGCAGCCCCCGAGGGTTCCCCTGGCCCCGGGCCAGCAGGAGAGTATTGCCACCACGGGAGAAAGGGAGAGCTGGGCCAGGTGATTTCCCAGACAGCTCCTTCTCTGGTGCTGCAAAGCCCCTGAGACGTCCAGATCCTTTTGGCTCGTGGTGTTTGGGGGGAGGAGAGCTCAGGACAGCCCCTGACCCAGACCCTAGGTCACTCGGGACAGTGGGGGGGTGCCCCAGGTCTCCAGGTACAGGAACAACCCTTGTCCCACTTGGGTGGAAAATCTAAAGTCCCCCAGGTCCCTTTTTCCATCTCTGCCCACCTCGGATGTTATATGGGACAAGGTGGGATGCAAGGGAGAGTGGGTCAGGAAGGGAGGGGTTGAGGGCTGCAGGACTCCTGGGCTGAGCCTGATCCCAGTCCCCTTCCCACCACTCGGTATGGCTGGAGCAGCATGGGGGGATTTTGCAACATTTATGGCAAGGAGGGGTAAAATAGAATTGCTTCACGTGCAGAATCTTGCTTGTCTCAGGGCAGCGTTTTTAGGCAGACATCAGCATTTTCCAGCCCTGCTGTCCACTCGCTCCACAGAGGTGCTGAGTTCCAGGGCCCTGCGGTGGCCAGCCCAGGGTGGGGCAGAGGCCCAGGGCAGGCAGTGCCTCCAGTGGGGAGCTGCAGGCAGGGGCTGTGCCCAAGAGCTTCGTCCCAGCATGGCCCTGCCAGGGATGCCGTGGGAAGTGGCTGCACTCTGGGCATTTTGGCATCCCCCACGCAGGTCTGAGCTGCAGATCCGCCGTGGCTCAGGCAGTTATCTGAGCCTCTCCAAGGAGCTACCTGCCAAGGGAACCCGGGAGCCTCCCTCCCACGTGCTCCAGGGGAGAACCCTCACTGTCCTCTCCTGCTGAGGAGGACATGGTTCATAGCTGTGTGGTAGGCAGAAGCCTCACTTAACTCCCTGCTAGCCTGGCCTCTTGCAGCCCTCCTCCCAAAGGCACCACACCGTGCTCGTGCAGCTCCTGGCAGGGAATTTCTCCCAGCCTTTTGCTCTTGATTAGGATGAATCTCAGGTATTCTCTGCTGCCCTTCTCCAATTAAAGGAAAACCTGCCCCACTGAAATATTTTGGTTGTGACCATTTCTAGCTCGTAAGGGTGCACATAAACCCCTCTAGGATGAATTTCACCTCTTTGAAAAGAGGTAGGAGGAAGGACCACAGGGCTCCCAGCATCATCTTCTTCTTGTAGTGATGGGGTTGTAGCACCAAGGAGGAGTGGGATCCACCTGGGCATAGATCTGGTGGAGTTATAAGGCAGCATGCAGCAGCACCAGCAGTATGCTCAAAGCTTCTTTTGTGCCCAGAGATCTCTGGCTAATTCTTCTCCATCACAGCCACATGCCTGGCAATGTGGTGAGTGAACATCTCTTGCATTGTTCCTTGAAATGATCATTATAGACTGACAGGAAGAGAGAAGCTGGCAGGCTAAGATGCATTCACAAAAATATCCCCTCCAGAGTCAGTTTAAATAAATCTCCATCATCATTCAGAGCACTGTGTGGGAGAGCTCGTCACCATGGCTAGTATGGAGGTGGGCTTTGCTGCTCCTCTCCTGCCACATCTCCTTGGCCCCTGGCAAGGTGTCAGAACCCAGCTGTGCTCTGGACACCTCCTCACTCAGGCAGGGTCATTGTGTCCCCCAAGCCATGAGCCCATCACAGGCAGTGTGTGATTGTTTGCTCAGCAACTCAAGCCAGAGCTGTAGGTGGAACCTGAGGAGCCTCCCTGCTTTTCCCCTCCAGCACTGGTTGTGCCCTGTCTTCACCACAGCCCTGGAGCCAAGAGGCACTGGCACCCAATCCCATGCCAAGGGACGTGGTGGAGCAGGGACAGGCAAAATGTGGGCATGTGACACTCAGGTGAGGGGGAAAGCCACCAGGATCACAGCAGAAGGAAGGGATCCCCCCAGCATGCTGACTGGGAACTGGAGTGGCTGCAGCACGGGCACAGCCGCCTGCCCTGGCAGCCAAGTGTCCCCACAGGGTGCCAAAATGCCTGCAGACTCCTGGTGCCAGCAGGCAGCAGCTGACCTGCCTCCTCTGCCCCACAGGCTGGTCTCAGGGCGGGAGGAGATTAAAGCTGGCTCCCGAAGCTCACCCCAGCCCATGTCACCCTCTGATTTCCTGGACAAGCTTATGGGACGAACCTCAGGGTACGACGCCCGCATTCGACCCAACTTCAAAGGTAAGAGCGAAGATGTGAGGGTTCCAAACCTGGCAGATCCATGCTGCTGGCTGCCCAAACCCGGGGGCTTTGGGGCAGAACCCTGACACATCCCCGTGTCCCAACACCCTCCCCGGTGTCCCGGCCACCCCTGCCAGCACTGTGTGCTCACTGTGCCCGACAGCACGGGCGGCTGCAGTGCCTGCAGGGTGTGCTGGGGCTCACCCACACCCCGGGGACAGGCAGGGGACAGGCTGTGTGTGTCCAGCCAGGCAGTGCCTGCCGGAGCCGGTGTCCCCGCGTGTGCCCACGGAGCGCACGTGTCTCGGCAGCCGGCGGCAAGAGGAGGCTTCACGCTGTTTTCCAGGTCCACCTGTCAACGTGACGTGCAACATCTTCATCAACAGCTTTGGCTCTGTCACCGAGACCACCATGGTGAGGGTTTTGCTGGCGCGGCGGGCTCTCCTCCTGTCCTGTCCTGTCCTGTCCTGTCCTGTCCTGTCCTGTCCTCTCCTGTGCCTCGGGGCTGGCAGCAGCTGTGCAGGAGAGCGTGTGGGTCCCAGTGCCCATGGCTGTGCTTACAGGGGCTCCTGTGACCCCTTCTCTGGAGCCATCCTGGCACCAAGGTGGGGACACAGCTGAGGCTTTTCTGGGGTCAGCTAACACAAGCTTAGCTGTGTGGGTCACATTCCCTGTGCCTGAGCTGGAAGAAAGATCCCCCCCAAAAGGATTACAGTGAGGCAGCTGGATGTAGCCCCCCACCATCCTGAACCTCCTTGCGTGCTTGAGGAACACCTCAGAGGAAGTCCCAGGGCTAAAATTTCCTATTTGTGCTTCTGCAAAAGCCTTAATACTATCAAGAGGCCCACAGAGCATTGTGTAGAGTGCTGCAGGCAGCAGTTACTGGTCTTCCTCCTCCTTCTCTCAGCTGCTGTGGCCTTGGCTTTTTAATTTCCCCTGGCTGCCAACAGCATGGGAAGGCTCCTGAGCTGCCCCTGCTCCACGCTTTATTAGTGTCAGGCACGCAGCAACAGCAGGGCTGAGCCTCAGGGGAGACAGCCCCTTCCACCTCCTCCTCCTCCTCCTCCTCCTCCTCCTCCCCAGGCACCACGATGTGTTCATAGCTGACGTGGTGCCCTCTGTCCCAGGACTACCGGGTGAACGTGTTCCTGCGGCAGCAGTGGAACGACCCCCGCCTGGCTTACCGGGAGTACCCCGACGACTCCCTCGACCTCGACCCCTCCATGCTCGACTCCATCTGGAAGCCAGACTTGTTCTTTGCCAACGAGAAAGGGGCCAATTTCCACGAGGTCACCACCGACAACAAGCTCCTGCGCATCTTCAAGAATGGCAATGTGCTCTACAGCATTAGGTAGAACCTTCCCCTCTGGTGCAGTGCCTGAGTGGGGAGGCAAAGCTCTCCTCTTGCCTTCCATGTGGCAACTGTTCCGCACTGTCTGCCCCAGCTCCAACAACTCCCTCCTTTCCTCTGCCTCCTCCAGGCTGACACTGATCCTGTCCTGCCCCATGGACCTCAAGAACTTCCCCATGGACATCCAGACATGCACCATGCAGCTGGAGAGTTGTGAGTACCTCAGGGGGTTCAAGCTGTGCTTCATTTCCCTCTTCCCATCCCATCCCCTCCCATTCCATGCCATCCCAAAAGCTGGCAGCTCACTTTTTCTGAGGGACAGAAGCAGGACAAAGTTCAGGGTGGGGTTGAACAGGGTACATGTCCCCATCCCATGGCTGCCTACATCCCCTCCAGTTGGCTACACTATGAACGACCTCATCTTCGAGTGGCTGGAGGAGCAGGAGGCCGTGCAGGTGGCAGAGGGCTTGACGCTCCCACAGTTCATCCTCAGGGATGAGAAGGACCTGGGCTATTGCACCAAGTACTACAACACAGGTGAGCACCCCAGGGACCTGCTGCCATCCCCTCACCATGACCCAGGGGTCCCTCTTGCCCACTGGGGCCATCTCTCCCTACAGGCAAGTTCACCTGCATTGAGGTGAAGTTCCACCTGGAGAGGCAGATGGGTTACTACCTGATCCAGATGTACATCCCCAGCCTGCTCATTGTCATCCTCTCCTGGGTCTCCTTCTGGATCAACATGGATGCAGCACCAGCCCGGGTGGGCCTGGGCATCACCACGGTGCTCACCATGACCACGCAGAGCGCCGGCTCCCGGGCCTCCCTGCCCAAGGTCAGTGCTGGGCTCCCCCGCTGCAGCCCCCCGCCGTGCCCCAGGGGCAGGGGCAGCCTTTCCCTGGGAATGGCTTGGTTTTGGAGTCTCATCAGCTGGGGCACCACACGTGCTGAGGGGAAACGCTGCCCTGGCCCGTGTGCCCAGGCTGAGAGGGCTCCCACGCTTCTTGGCAGGGGGACGAAGCTGGCAGTGGGGGGGATGAACAAAGTGGGGGGCAGTAGGTCCCTGAGCCCCCTCTCACCCCGGCAGGTGTCCTATGTGAAGGCCATTGACATCTGGATGGCCGTGTGCCTGCTCTTCGTCTTCGCCGCCTTGCTGGAGTACGCAGCCGTCAACTTTGTCTCCCGCCAGCACAAGGAGTTCATGCGCCTGCGCCGCCGCCAGCGACGGCAGAGGATGGTGAGTCCCCCCCTCTCTCATGACATCTGCTCATCCTCAGCCCCTGAGGGGACACCCCAGGGCTGCAGGGACAGTTTCTCAGCAGCCCCCAGGGCAGGGCTGCGTTCCCTTGCCCCAGATGGCTCCTCCAGCACCCCGGGGACCCACAGGCATTGCAGCACAGTGCACAGCACCCATGGGTGCTTCAGACGCTGCTTAGGGTGCTGTCCTTCTGCTGCTGGGACATCCTCAGGCTCTGCTTCCTCTAAAAATGCAGAAAAATAAACAGTGAGGATGGGGGGAAAAACAGCCTTTCCCCTTAGCTGCAGCTTCAAACCTGGGCTCCTTGCTGTGCCATAGTGGTGACAGGGACTCACTGCTGTGTCAGGGACCTGGTGGCACCCAGGGACAGGTCTGGGCTGCAGAAAGGAGCACAGCAACATCTGGAGAGACAGGATCCCTTACTCATGGCAATAGTCCTCCCCTCTGTCAGCCCATCAACACAGGCATCAGGCCTGCAAGAAGCTTGGGGTAGGCACGTGGCTGCCCCTCACTCATTTTCTTGCCATAAACACTCTGTGAGGCACCAGATCTCCACAGAAAACATGAGTACACACACACACACACCACACAGGCTCACAGAGTCCCGTGCAACCAAATCCCTTCAGCATATGCTGAAGACAGGTCCCAGTGCCAGGGCACACTGTGGGGGCTTTTCC